GAAGGATGCACTGAGCATCTTCCTGGCTTTTCCAGCATCAGTTGCTGGTTTTGGATGACTTTTAGTGTAGAAGTGAACATATTGTTGTGTCTCTTAGGGATGGGGCCCTGGAACAGCCAGAGGCTGTCCTGGAGAGCAGCAGTGCCCCGTGAGGTCTGCAGGTCACATCCCAGCAGGGATGCTCAGGATTTGGGGTGAGGCTGCTCATGGGGGCTGCTCCTCAGGATGCTGCCGGCATTGGCCACTCTGCAGATCTCTTCTAATATGAAAAAAATCAAAGGAAACCCAGCCTTAGAGGCAAGGAGTTGAAAAGCCGAGCAGAAACTGCTAGAAAGGAATATTATCATCCTTTTCAGTGGCCGGCCAGGTCGGGTTTGAGAGGCAAAGGCGGTCTAACAGCGCTGCCTGCTGGAAACTCCTCGGGAGGAAAAGCAATTCTGAGCCCCGGCTTCAACCAGTCCTGTGGCACAATTTAAACTCGTCCTTCTCCCTTTCCCTCAACCTGCTCTGCTGACAAACCTCAGCTGCTCGGGACAGGCTGTCAGCGAGGATGGAATTCCCATCTTGTTTATCCTCATAGCAATTCTTGGAGAACAGGGTGGCACCCCAAGCTCTCTCTTGATGTGCAGAACCCCGAGCCCGCAGCTCTTGGCTCACTGGGATCTCGGTGGCATTAAAGGAAATGCCCGTGGTGCTGCTTTTGGAGCACTTGGGGCCAAGCCCAGCTGGGGTGGTGGGATGTCACTTCTGGGGCTGCTCCCTGGGGTTCACCCTCCTTTACCCACCCAGCCCGAGTGTCCTGTGATAGATTTACCCACCCTTCTTGGCAGTGTGCTGTGCAGAAAATGGGCTGACCAGCTACCAACACTTTAGTTAAGATATGAATTTGCCAACTGAAAAAGTCAGGACTTTTATTTGCCAAGTCAGCCTGGTCATGTCCTGCCCCCCGAGGCCAGCCCTGGTGCCCTCCCAGGACAGGGTGGCACTGGGCACTGAAGGTCCCCATGGTGAAACCTCTGCTCCAGGCTCTGGAAGAGCAGGAATTCCTGCCTCAGGCAGGAGGGGTGGGTGCCTGGGTTTGCTGGTGGGACCTTACAAGGATGGCAGCACAGTTTGGATATGCATTAATAAACAGATCTGGACTGAAAAGTGAGGATTTGGGAGCAGATGAGACACAAAGGCTCTGGGCAGAGCTGGACTGCACTGGAGTCACCCCTGCCCCACAGGCCCATGAGCAGTGGGGTCACCTGTCCTGCAAGGACAAAAGGATTAGGCTTTTATTCCTGGCAGCAGTTCTAAACTCCGTAACATTAACTAGATGAGAAGACTCTGAGAGCTCCTTCTTAGAGTGTTAAAAATGTTTAAAATTCGCTTCCTTTAATCATCTTTTTGCTATTAATTAACTATGAGCAGTATTACTGCAGTGCCCAGAATCCCTCCTGGCCAACTCGGAGGTGGCCTGTGCCATCTGTTTGTCCTCACTTCATCTGCCCTGTGCCTTCCCTGCCAGGGCCAGGCTGTTTCTGCTCGTGCTGTCGTGCTAGGTGAGAGGAAAGGGACACTCAAACAGCCCAGGCAGGTTTATTTATTGCTAGGAAGCAGCGATGGGCACAGGTGGAATGGCACAGATAAGCCCAAGCCTTGGCATGGGAATTCAAAGTCACCTCTCTCATCCTTAGCTCCTGCCAGTATCCCTCCCTCCAAGGCATGGCCCCAAGCTGGCTCTTCCCGTTCTGTTTTTTAAGTACATTGTTAATTAACGAGACAGAGGAAAAAATACACACAGGCACACCTGAGTAGTTTTTAACCTGGCTTGATTAATGCTGTCAAGTTGCACATCTGAGTGTGAGCTCAGTGGGACTGTTGCTTTTGTTTAATACCACAAGACACCTCAGTCTGGATTGTTGCATTACAGTACAAATAAAAAACAGAAACAAAACCACATCTGCATCATACAAGGTGAGAAGAATATGAGAATTCTAAATATTTACAGAGAAGGGCAAGTGGGGAAATCACAAAAAATATTTACATAAAAATACATGAGCTTGTCGGCATATACATTTTACACCAGTTCACAAAAAAAGACACTATAAATTAAAGTGAAGGGAACTCCAAAGGTAACCCAAGACTTTCTGGGAAGTTTCTCTCATGCGGCTCAGGGAAAGAAAAATCAAGTCTTCTACAGCAGGAAAATGAACGGCAAAACAACCCTTTTCTCCTCCCCTCCCTCCCCCCAGCTGGACAGGCAGGACTCTGCACACGAGGAACTGTGGTGTCTGCTCACACCACACCATGCCCTTCACATGGCACTGGGGCTCTGGGAAACAGGAACATGCCTAAGCCGCTGCAACGAAAGGAAGGAAAACAACTTCTCACCCAGATTTCCTGACATTTAACACACCACTGGAGTCAATGCCCTGTCACCAGCCCGGGGGATGGCAGAGCACACTTGAGGTTCTGTCCCTTATGGGCTCAAAGAGGAACAGGACGTCTTCAAGTCGGTTTTGGTTTTGTGTAGCAACTTACTACCACTGTGCAATCCTTACTGATCCCCCCAGTGGTGAGCAGGGGAGGGGATCGCTGCAAAGACATAGGCACAAAGTTGGGGGGTGTTCTCAGAGATGCATATAGATATCACCTGATAAGACTCTGCAAAAATCAGAAATTAATGCTTTACCTAAGACTTCATAGGGGCCAAGTCCTCATTACTCACCTAGGACTGCGCTCCCCTTCCCAGGGAAGGTCTCCTCATGTCCTGCTCCAAAGCAGAGGTGAAAATCCAGAGCTGGAGCACACTCCTGGAGCCCCATTGCTGCATGCAGTGGGACACTCGTCTGGAAGCAGAGGGGGTGGCAGCTGAAGATGCAGACAGTGCCCGTGTGAGGGAACTGCAGGGGAACAGAGCTGCTGTCACCTCGTGGGGATGTGGTTAGGCAAGGAATGACTGAGCCCGAGCACAACTGCTCTTGGATTAGAGGATTATTTGCGTTGCTGTGCCCCTGCTCACTCCACTCTGCGACACAGGACTGGGCTGTCACCGTCCTCAGCTCACCCACCTGAGACTCCTGGTGTCACTCCCTGCCTCACTCTGATGTATGACACCCTTTCCAATCTCACCTATGAATGCTGGGGTTCATGAGGATGTAGAACTCTCTTGTAGGAGCAGCAGACTGAGCCCAGAGCAGGAGCAGGACTGCATAGTTCACTGTATGGCTTGGTGGGACGGGATCATGCAGGATGCTGCTGAAGCCGTGGGCAGGAACAACGATCAAAGAAAGGTGTTGGTCTGCGTTACCTGGGAAAAGCTGGTGCCTTCACCTTTTTTAATTCTGTACTGTGGCTCAGCAGTGCTGGACATGAGTTTGGGTTCTTCGAGAGCTTAGAGAGGGAGATGGCTGGGAGCCACTGCTCTGCTCTCTTCTTCCTCTCATGCCACAAAGGCTGTTTGCAGCAGCCTCTGGGTCAGGGGCCAGGTGGGCACTTCCAGGAGCTCTTTGGGAGAGGTGCTGAAGGGTGAGTTTCCATTGGGATGAGCGGGTGCTTCACACCTGGCACTTCACACAATGCAGGGAGAGCCCGGCTCAGCTCAGCGGGAGCAGCACAGCACTCAGGAGCAGAGGCTGTCCAGGGATGGCACTTGGGCTCTACGGGGACAAAGTGGCTTCGAGCAGGAAAATCCAGAGGCGTTTACAATTCGTAGGAGCTGGGAGCAGCCCCTCGTAGTGGCAGGATAGTCCTGGCTGGCATAAGGCCCAGGCAGAGGGAGGGGGAGGCTGCGGGGCAGGGGGGGAGTTAAGGCTTTCACGGAGAGAGAGGTTGGACCTGCAGCTCTCATTACCTGAATCCCAAATAGCCTGAACCAAACACTTGTCCCTGCTTCAACTGGAGAGCTGGCAGATAACCAGGGGCTGAGGCTGGTCCTAGCCCTGGCACAACACAGCTCTGCTGGGAGCACAGATAATCCAGCCTGGCTCCCGAGGAACCGTGGCAGCTCAGCCTTTCCTGGGAGTTGCTGCTAGTGCAGACAGGGTGGCTCACCAGTGGCCTCTTTCTGTGCAGTTCTGTCAGTTTTCCTTAAAAGAAAATATTAGGAAAAGCATTCCCTCACCAAAAACCCCAACCCCTCTACCTGGGAATTCCTCGCAAGGAGATTGTGGTAACCTGGATCACAGTGCTGCTTTTTTCTCTTTTTTTTTTTCTTTCTTTTTTTTCTTACTGCCAGATTTCATTCTGTAACATGTGAGAACTCTTCTAAACAAAATGCTTAAAACACCAGCATTGCACAATAAAATAGAACCAGAAGGTAGTTACTGAAACAGCCCCAGACAAGGCTCCAAGGTTAAAAGAAGCAAACAGCTACAGAGTAGTCAGCAACTAGAAGCAGGTTTTCCTTAGGATTTAGAAGTCCCAAAAATAGCCATGAAACCTTTTGTTCAAAAAACCCCACCTAAGCAGCTGTGTGCTAACTGCAGGACTTCCAGGTTTTTCATAAAACATTAGAGATTCGAAACAGGTAGAGAAGTTCTTCAACCACACGGAACAGAAATGGCCTTAGAATTTATCAGTGAACATTTAAAAACTGCTAAATCTCAAGTATTGCTTGCAAGCCCTACCTAATGGAATGGATGTGCTTTATTTGTACAGGGGGTGTGAGTCCTGGGGAGTCCGAGAGGCAGCTGTTGTAAATACTGAAGCTTTTCAACAGCTTGGACACCATTTTTGGTGTATTTTAGAGGGCACTGGCCTTCTGTCCCTACTCACTGGATACTAGAGAAGCAGCACCTGGGCACAGCACTGCTCCCTGTGTGCCACAGCTCCTCAGGGATCTCTGCCCAGCATGGAACTCAGAGGCTGCAGAGAGTCTGGAGACCTCCAGCTTAAGCTCAGCAGGAGCTTTCCCTGATGGAATTGCTGCAGGGCCTGGCCCAGGGCAGCTGCTCATGCAGACAACTTGTCACACACAGCTGGCAAGGTGGACTCTGATTTACATAATGCTATAGACTTTTCTTTTAAGCTATTTTTCTAGTATTTTTTGCAGTGAGATGACACAGTCTTGCCAGCCACAGGATGGAATGAGCTCATCTGGGCCATGGATAGCCTTGCAGCAAAGAGGAAGGACTGGCATAGAATTGGTGTGCTGTTCCCAGCTCTGGGGGTAGGGTTTGGTGTAGTTTTGTGTTTTATTTCTTTTGGTGTGAGAAATGCAAACCTGCCCTACATGGCTCCCGCAGCTGGCCTCTGCTTACAACAGAGAAATGTGAAGGAAATGAACTTCTTGTAGGCAGAAGCAGCTTGTTAATAAGCAAGAAATGTAATGAGCATGTCATGTTCTGAGCTGGCTTCGGAGCCTATTCCACAGGCTCAAAGTCAAACCAGGCCCCCACCCAGCTCAGAGCAGCTGCAGTGGGAGCACCACGCCCACGGCAGAGGCAGGGCCTCAGCAAGGAGAGGATCCCTGGGGAGCCTTGCCCCAGCCCCATTCTTGCTGGGGCTGAATTCCGAGGTTCCTCCACGGCCCTTTCCTGAGAGCCAGCCTGGGATGGGCAGTTTGCAGCAGGACGGAGCTGCAGGCACAGTCCATCGTGCACAGCCCATCATACATGGGACCGTGGGCGTGGGGAGGAGCAGCCAGTGTCATGTCTGGGAAGGGAAAACTCCTTCCCTCCCTGCCCCAACAGCATCTGTGTCAGCCCTGCCCAGCCTCTGGCAACCCGTGTGCCAACAGCCTGCCCTGTCCTCCCAGGTGGCTTAAAACTACATGAAAATCTATAGCTCTACTACATAAAAACAGTGAGTGGGGGCCGGGGGAGGGCTGAGGGGGGTTTGCTTTGCTCACTGGGGCAGGGTAGGGGAGTTTTTCTCCATCACTGAAAAAATAAAACAGTCCACTGTCCAGCAGAGGCTGCTTAGACTCTATCCCTCGTCCCCCCCCAGCTCACTCGACGTGCACCTCAGTTTCGGGCCTCTGCAGACACAGCTCTGCGGGGAGGAAGGCTCCCTGCCCCAGCGCCGTGGCGTAAGTTCTGCTGTGCACGTGGGGGAAGCCGGGGGGCACGAAGCCCCCCGCTCCAGCATAGCCCCCTCTTTGGTGCTGAGGCAGGGTATGATAATCCTCCAGGTTATCGTACTGGGACACCACAGTCATCGTGCTTTGGCGCTTGCCCAGGGTCTGGTAGGGGTACAGCAGGGCAGAGTCCCTCTCCATGGGCTCGGGGTGCTCCCGCATCCGGAGGCTGTGGCTCCGCTCGGGCTTGGGCGGTGGTGCCACGGGAGGGGCAGCATGTTCCTCCTCCTTGTAGCAGTCTCTGGAGTGCTTCTCCATGGGCGCTCTGCCTCGGGGCCTCTCCAGATCCGGCCTGTCCTCTGCCAACCTCCCGTCCTTGTGGTTCAGCCTCAGGGTCTCCTGGCTGCCTGGGATGTATTTGCTGCCCGAGTGCTGGTAGCCCATGGGCTCGGAGGGCTCCAGGCCGCCCTTGGGCCTGTACTCGGGGTAAGGGGGTCCGTTTTTGGGTTCGGAAGGCTGCCTATGGTTCGCTTCCTGCTGCAAATGTGTCCTGTGCTCGCTGCTGCTGCCGCCTGGCTCGTGCATCTTCCTGTTCCGGATGCTGCTCTGCTTCTGGGGCAGGGACGGCTTCTCAGGCTGCCCGTTCCCGTAGCCCCCGCCATGATAGTGGGCTCTGTCCAGCTCAGGCTCTGTGTGCTGCCCGTAGTATCGCTCATCCCCTTCGGGCGTGGCCGCCTTGGCCGGGTACCTGCCCTCCTTCCCTTCGGCCACCGTGAGCAGGCCGCTCTTGCCAGGATCCGATTTGCTGCGCAGGTGGACGGCGTCCAGGCCGCCCAGCTCGTCCTGCAGCAGCGGGGCCACGTTGTCATACTGGGACATGAGGGGCCCCTTGACCTTCTGGCGTGTGCGGCTCTCGCGGCGGATGGACTGCATGCGGTACTTGTCCATGTCCTCCAGGTCCCACGACATGTACATGTGCTTGATGTCCGGGGCGGGGGGCACGTCCCTGCTCACGAAGCTGTGCTCTTTGCCCAGGTGGTTGATGAGCCCTGCCCGGGGGTAGGCGGCCAGGCTGGGGTAGCGGTACAGCCCCTTGCCCTGCAGCCGGGACGCGTAGGGGCCGAAGTCGCGGCCGGGCAGGCCGTGGAAGGGCCGGACCCGCACGGTGCTGTAGGGATCCAGGTCGTAGAAGCTCCCGTCGGCCGCGGTGTAGTAGGGGGAGCCAGAGGAGCTGGAGTAGGGACTGTAGCGATAATGGACCCGCCCGTTCTCGAAGTAAGGCTGGAGCTGCGTGACGTGGTAGTCGGAGTGGGGCTGATAGGGCTTGTACTGGTAGAGGGGCCGCGGGCAGTACAGGGGCTCGTCGTCCGGGGGCACCTCCGTGCGGGAGATGGGCACGGAGCGGATGGCGGCAGCGGCAGCGGCGCTGGGCACGTGCAGCGATTGCACCCTGCGGATGGTGGGGTACGGGGGGGCCTCCTCGGCGTAGCCAGCGCCCCGCAGCCCCGTGGGGCTCACGGAGGACACGAAGTCGGTGCGGCCGCGGGGCTTGGGGTGCAGGCCCGCGGCAGAGCCCTTGCCCTGCGTGCCGTAGGAGCCGTAGCGCGCGCCCGCGGCGACGGGCGGCTCCGGGCGGGGCGGGTAGGGCTGGTGCTGCTCGGCCTTGCCGTGGTAGCCGTGGGCGGGGACGCCGTCGGGCCGGTACTGGTGCTTGGTGTGCAGGTAGCCGTCAGGCCCCAGGGGCTCGGGGAGGCTCTCCGGCTTGGGGTGCGGCACGTACACCGGCTGCAGCGACGAGTGCTTGGGAGGTGGCGGCGGCGGTGGCGGCAGCAGCGCCTCCTCCACGGAGGAGGCCAGCATGGAGGAGGCCAGGAAGGAGTGGTAGTTGGAGTTGTTGATGGTGTCTGCGTTGTTGGAGTGCATGGCTGCGGCGATCTTGCTCTCCAGTGTCCTCACGGGCGGCACGGGAGGCGTGAAGCTGTAGGAGGAGGGCGCAGGGACTGACTCAGAGCGCAGGTGCAGCGGGGGTGCCCTCGTGCTCTCCCGAGGCTTTTCCAAGTGGCCCTGGTGGCCCGTGGGCACGGAAGAGGAGCCACGGGCACTGGAACTGCTCTCAGAGACAAAGCCAGGCGTGGGCTCCAGAGGCTTTTCAGGTGCAGCGGTGCTCCACATCTGCAGGGAAGAAAGCAGACAAAGTTAGGGACAAGCAGCTTTTCCCTGCTATTCTGTAGTTAGAACATACTATACACTTGTATGGATTAGCTCAATTCCAGCATGTCTGCCTGATTTCTATTTGCTGGGGAAGGACAGATGTGTAGGTTCCCTTTGTTAACATGGGCAGGCACGATGCTACAGATTTTGGGACCCATCACAACTGGTGTGTTCTGCAAATGCCAAACCAGAGGAAAGGGAGGGGTATCTGTCTCTTCACATGGTGCCCTCAGTGTTTCGTTAGGTGGTCTGCTTTTAAATGTCTGATGTTAATGAAAATGTTCCTGATATAACCTCCTCAGGCCCTGATGAGCTGATCTAGAAGTGCAGTAGGGCAGAAATTCCTGCCTTAAACGTGGCTGCAGGGCTTAGGATGGGCTGCAGCCGGGCACGTTTCATGGGCTGAGGGGCTTGGATTTCTGACAGAACATTTCCAATCCTGCACAAGGAATCTGACCTGATTTGTTTAAAAGAATCTCAGAACCACTGAGGTTAGAAAAGACCTCTGAGACCACCGAGTCCAACCTGAGACTGATCCCCACCTTGTCACCAGCCCAGAGCACTGAGTACCATGTCCAGTTGCTCCCTGGACACCTCCAGGGATGGGGACCCACCCCACCAGCTCCCTGAGCAGCTCCTTCCAGCACCTAATAACCCTTTCTGTGAAGAAATTCTTCCTGTTGTCCAACCTAAACCTCCCCTGGTGCAGGTTTAGACTGAGCCTTCTCATCCTGTCTTGTCTGGACAAGAGCCTAACCAGCATGCTGGAAGAGGACCTTGTCAGAGGATGCAAAAGTTCTTCTCAGCACTCTGAACTAGCAATCCCTGTCAGCTGTCTATGCAGATACTTCCTTAAAACCAAGGAGAGTGGGTATTCTGGGATGCTGCCTTAGGAAAGCAGCACAGGATTTCCTGCAAGGCTGTGTCTGTGTTGCACTCATGTCATTCCCGGTGTCCTGCAATGCCCACCCCCGCCACGTGGATTTGGACCGATGCTCCCAGTGCTCGGCAGTTCAGAGGAGCTGTGCAGGGAGCAGCACGTACCTGCCCGGAGCCGCTGGGTGCTTTGGCCGCTGGCACCTGTCCCACGGCTGCCTGGTGCTCCTGTCTCTGTGCCGGGGCCGGGGCCGTGCGCGGCGCGGGGGGAACGGTGCCGTCTGCCTGGGGGGCGGCCCCGGGCGGGGCGCGGGGCTCAGCCGTGCTGGGGAGGGTGCTCAGGTAGGGCACCGCACCCGGGGCGCCCCTGTCCCCGGCGGAAGCCACGGAGGGAGGTGGCAGCTTGTCCTCGGGCGTGCAGGGAGCGTGCAGCTTGTCCCCAGGCAGGCCGGCGCGCAGGTGGGGCTGCTCCACGGGCGGCTCCGTGCCGGGCGGCTCCCGCTCCGGCAGCGCCCCGGGGCCGTGCACGGCCGAGTGCTCCCAGTCCCCCACCTGGGCCGGGAAGGGCTCCTTGTCCCCCGCTCTGCTGGGGTGGAAGCTGCACGGCTCCTGCTCCGCATCCCTGCTGCCAGGCGTGTCCCCGGGCACGCCCGTGTGGAGAGGCGGGGGCTCCTGGCCTCCAGGTGCGCCGGGCGGGTGGTTCTGCTCCCCGGCCGTGCCTTGGCAGTCCTGCTCTAAAGGTGCCCCGGGCTGGAAGTGCAGGTGGTTCTCGGGCACAGCAGTGAACAGGTGGAGCTTGTCGGGAGCGCCCGCAGAGAGATGGAGTTTTTCTAGAGCTGTGCCAGCTTCAGCCTCTCCATAATTTGTGCTTTCAGCATGAGCATCTCCTGGCCTTTTGTGGGACTGGGCCGATGCTTGCTGCGCGGACTCGGCTAACGCTAGGGCCAGCATGCGCGCTGCATTTTTCGGAGGAGGAGGAGGGATAAGAGACACAGAACTGACGGGAACAGGATCCTGGGGGGAGTCGAGGGCAACTGCTCCTAATGGGGGGAAAATTGAGAGAGAGAGTGATTTTATGTTACCCAATAAGGAGAGTGACCTTAACGACTATTATAAAAAAATAGATGCTCTCCACATTTTCACAGTGGCAGTTCCTTCTGATGTGAAACGCTTGTGTCTCACAGGCAAACGCTGCTCGACAGCACAGCAGTTCATCACAAAGAGGAAAAAACCCAAGAGATTGTCTAAAGGCTCCTCTTGCATTTCTAGAGAGGTAGGAAGGAGGTAGCAGAGAATGAGATACCCTTACACAATTTTGATCATAAGGTTTTAGGCGGAAAGGTCCCTTCTTCGAGTGTTGCCAGATTTTTAATTTAAAAAAGGAAGTCTTATATGGTCTATTGGCTGAAATGATTGAGAAGGATATGCTAGAGATTTTCACGTATGACAGGATGGGGAAAAAAAAAAGCAGAATATAAAGCATTATGGAAATTATCCGAGATTTGTGTGATGTAGGGAGAAGGCAGAGGTTAAGACTTTACTGATCTGCACAGCCCTGCAAGACACTCGTGACCAGAACTGACGGGCAATCCCCTCTCCTAAAGGCACGCAGAGGAGGATGGTTCTGAGAGCAGCTCCCCTTTGGAACTTACAGAAAGAATGGAGGAAAATGCACTGTACCTGGCTGGGTGTGTCCACTGGGTACAGTCTTATTCTGACTGCTTGGCATGGCTCTCTCCCCTTCTTCTGGCAAATCTGCTTTGCAAGCAGCCACTAGCTGGGGATGCTGCAGCTCTTGGTGGGCTCCTTCCCCTGTTCCTGTTTCACTGTTTTTCAGGGGCAAGGACATCTGGGTTGGGGACCTGTTTGTGATCTCAGTGATGCCAATCTCTTTGCTCCAGCTGGAAGCAGAGGAGTTCCTGGATGTGGTGGGCACTCCTCCCATGGTCTCTGGCACACGGCTAGGCAGCACAAAGGAGGTGGGTTCTGTGCTCAGTGGTGGAGATTTGATTGGCTTTCGGGCTGTCTTGGGCGAGAAGCTGAGGGGTTTGCAGGCCTGCTCTTCCGTGGGGCTCAGGTCCAGCGTAAAGAAGGGACTCATCTTCTCCTGGAAAGGGGACACTGGCTCAGAGCTCGTGGCACTGCCTGGGGTCTGGGACTGGCTGCCTGATTCTAAATCCTTCTTGAGCAGGCTGGGCTTCTCCTTATTGATATCGACAGACTCCAGAAGGGAGGTGCTGCTGTCCAGGCACTCGGACTCTGCCTGGGGGGGGCTGCACTGGAAAGACATGGGGTCGAAGTCCAGGCTGGCGACGCCGATGTCTGGCGGGCTGAGGTCCACGTCCTCCGAGGAGCGGGGGGAGATGAGGGCAGGGACGTGGATAAGCCCCTCGTCCCCGTCGCTGTCGTCGTGGGGGAGGTTGTCATAGGAGTTGCAGCGGTTCATGTTCCCCAGGAGCTCCCCGTTGAAGGAGGCAGACAGGGCATCGCTGCTGGACCTGGGCCTCCTGGGCCGGAACAGCTTGGATTCACCTGGAGGTGAGGACACACCGTGGGTTAGTGACAAAACCTCCTGTCCAGGAGGCCAGGCCCGGGGGGCACAGGGGTGTCAGAGCAGTCTAAGGCAGCGAGAGGCTCCCCTGATGATCTCTGCACACAAAGTAACATGGTTGGCAGTGACTGCTTATTCCATTTGCTTAAACTCTTCTACAGCACTTGCCAGGCATGATTTGGTCTGAAACTAAGCTGTGTGCACAAGCAAAGACACTTTAAATGTGCTTAAGGCCTATCTCAGAGAGCACTTTCCTTCACAATGTCAATCTTGAAATAGCAAGGGGAGGAGCCAAGGAATGAACATCAGCAGTGCCAGCTACACCAAAGCAAGAGGTTGGCTTTTTTTAACCTTAAAAGCAGGAAAAGCCATGAAGAGCATTTCTGTGAGACCCATCTGTGCTAGGAGCAGAAATCTGCTTCATCAGTTAGCAAGTACAGTTTCCCTGGAGAAACAGAAAACCTGCCCTGTTGAGTATCTACAGCCAGAGATGTCAAAGTGCCTCCCTGAATGCCCATTTATTGGCAGTGCAGGTAGGATTGTGCCTTACCATCCACAGCATGCAGGGAGGTGAGGGACTCCTCGCTCTTGGCCGAGCGGAGCGTCCCGCTGTCTCCTCGTCCTCCTGAGGGAACAGGGAAAGGATCAGTTAGGAAAGGGGTTTACATTTAGCTGGACAATGGTGGCAGGAGAAACACAAATGCGTTTCTAGCACCACCATCAGTGTCCTGAGAGTCATTTTGTTTTTGAAGGTGGGTTTCTGACTCTCATTTTATCTGGAAACAGTTAACTGATGCACGTGGTGACTGCTGCAGGTGACAGGCTGGGAAACAACTCCCCACAAGCAAAACCCCTCAAAAAGGGAGAAGGAAGGAACAATTACACACCCTGTTTTATGGACACTAAACTAGTATCATTTCAGTCTCTGAGGAGACAGCCCTGAAGAGCATCACAGAGCATGTGAGGACTGTGAGGGTAAGAATTTAAAGACTGACCTGGGAGATAGGGGGATAAAAGTTCTCCCAGGCCCATGTTTTGGGATTTGTGGTGTGTTTTACTGCAAAAACAAGTTGTTGCTATTTTTAAGTTTGGAAAGAGACAGAAAATTACATATGGAAAAGGCTGAGAATTCCACCTACATATCCTGGCTGTGGCTATAAAGGGTTGTTGACTGCCTTCTCTGGGCACTCTGGTAAAGCTTTTGGAGGGAACGTGTTTGTGGGAAGGTGCCTTTCCCTCATTTCGTCTTCTGAGAGCAATAAGGGGAACCAGAAGTGTATTCTCATTTCATAATGGGAGTGTCAGAAGGAATTATCCTGTGACTTATTATAGCAGCAGCCGCATCTTGTCTTTCCAAAGCTGTTCCAAGCAAAGCACAGAGGTGTGAACCCCGGCAGGCTCCAGGGCTGCCAGAGATCCATTGGGAAAGAACAGCTCCTGGAGGTGTCATGCACGGCTTGGACGCTAGAAGGAGATAAAAGCCCATGGAAATATGACTCTGCACTGCTGAAAACCTCGGGTTTGGAAGAGGGCCTCACCTGCCAGGGCTATGGCTTTCATTTCCGAGGGCTCGCTGGGGTTGCGCTGCAGTTTGCGCTTGGACACGGAGGAGGATTTTCCCAGGTTAAAGAAGGAACGCCAGCTCCCCACTGGAGACTTCTTTATCTTGCTGGGAGGCCTTTTCCTGGGGAGAGAAAGTGGAACACATGGAGGAGGGGCTGCAGCTCAATTCTGGCTGCTTGTCATCAGGACTCTCTGCTTTCTGCTCAGGAACTCCTTGTTTCTGCTTGGAAACTCTCTCTTTTCCACAACTGAGGATGTTTGCATTCTTCCAGCTCAGCCCTAAAGTCCTGCTGTGTAAATTCCCCCAACCTCTGCAAAGCAGCTGCAGTGCAGGTGAGGAAAGGCTCTTCCTTGCCCGGTCCAGCAGCCAAGGGATTTTGCGGAAGAAGCCCCAGCTCTCTGGGAAGCTGGGCAGCCATAAAGGTGCCCAAAAGCATCTCTCACTCCTGCTATAAAACCACCTCAATCTCCTACACTGCCATGTTTAATTTCCAATGTCCTCAAGGCTGTCCAACTGCTCCACTTCAAGGGAACCTGGATTTGTGACAGGCAGTTAGTCCTGGAAAACCCCAACGTCTGCAGGTGTTCACCCTGTTTACATCTCTGTGTGTGACTCATCCAGACATCCCTGCATCACAGACAACATGGATTTATACATTAAATGATATCCCTGCTGAAAACAAGAGGGAGTGGAGCACAAATTATTTGGCTGAACCAAGACCACAGATGTGAGCTGAATCCTCCCAGAGTCCAAAGCAGGTGGAAAACTGGCTACAATACTTTACATATTTAACAAGTCTCAAGTCAATATAAGCAAATTCTTGCTGTATGCAAAATAACACAGTTATGACACATGGTGGAAAGGAAACCTGTCTCTACCTTTCAGATGGGAAGTCAATGACTGTGTGGAATTTCCCCTGCAAAGCTGCTGGGCCTTCTCCCACTTCGATGTACTTGCTGTCTGCCACGATGGGAGAGTTGATCTGGGCCTGTGTCCGTGCCTGAGCCTCCTCCAGGGTGAGCAGCTTCGTGGAGGGGGAGGACACCAGCAGAGACTTGGGCCGGGATAAAGAGCTGTGCCCTGCAAGGGGAAACCACAGGCAACAGGGAGAGTCAGCAAACAGCAGTGCAGAGATCAAAGCTCAGCTCTGTGTGTCTAGGGAGGTGCTGTGTTTTTCTGAACCTTTGTTATTCCAACCATTGAAAGATGTGGACAAAATGTGGACACAATGTCACAGATACACTGATGACTAAAAGAATAATAGCTTAGTGTATTAAAAATAAAACGCAGAGGGAAGCAGGTAGGATGGAAACCTTTGTGACATACTTTCCTTTATCTGTATGCAAGAACCTGTAAAAAAAAAATTATTCCTTTGTATAAAGCCTGTCTGGGTCATTCCCAGATTTCACCTCTTGGTGCAGCAGGAAATTCCATGTGTGACTGAAGCAGCTACAAACCAAAGTGTATCTACATGGACACAGCAAACAGAATCTGCTGTGTGCCATGCCCGTGGCCTTTAGAGCTTGTGCCTGGATTTGGAGATGGATGTGCAAAATCTGGAAGTAGCTGCTGCTGCCTCCTGCTGCTGCCAGCTTCAGTGGAGAGATTACAGGGAGCATTGCAGGAGCAGCTCTCCTGTGTCTGCCACTGCCTCTTGTACAGGTGTTTGTGGGGTTATTCCCAGGACAGCTCAGGGCTGTGGGGGGAACGTGCCAGTGCAGAACATCCTGTTTGGTCCAGTTCCATGGCTGTCCCTGGAGCAGCACAGCTCTGAGTGAAGGATGCACAGTCTGGGGGGTGTGGGAGCTGGAAATGCTGTCCTGGGTGAAGTTTAGGTTAGAACAGGTTTGGCAGCACCACTTCCCCCTCTCACAGGCGGGTGCAGGAGCTGTGCTCACACCCAGAGGCTCCCAGGAAGCCATTCTGGAATGCAGAATTCCTGCACTTAGCCAAGCCTGACCCTCCTCCCTGCCAGGTCTGTGTCAAAGCCACTGAATGCAAATGACCAAGTCATTAAACAATTAGCCGAATTTACAAGGGCCATTCTAAGCCTGGATAATCATCTGGCTGGGATTCTGAGCATGCTTATCTTCCTTCCCCTGGCAGAGTCAGCCTGCTGGGGCTGGCACTGCTCAGCCAAGCTAACCTCTGGCTTCCATGGACTTAGAATTTCCCTACAGCAGGAGAAAAAACTGAACTTGGATCAACTCACCCTGCCTAAGCAGAGGTAGGGTTTGTTTAAAAGAAGGGAGCAGCAAATACAATGGAAACCCAGCTCTCTGCAGTCCCCAGGTGGTGGTAACTGCAGTGGCTGTGCATGTTCCAGGCAAGGGGAGGTTATCAAGGCAGATGGTGCAGCCTTAATGCTGCTTAGGAGCAGGAACAGCTTGTGGCAGCCACACCAACACAGAGAGTAAACTTTCCTCCTGGTGCTACTCTGCTCCTTCTGCATGGAACACACATATGGTCTTGGCTACTCAAGGGAATTCGTAGGCTCCAAGGCTGGATGACATTCCAGGTGCTCCAGGTTCATTCCTCATCCTAAAGCAACAGCAGTCTGAGCTGTGTGGCTGCTCAGCCCTGCTCATGAGCCCACACAGGCTGTGCAAAGGGAATAACCAGCACAGGAGCTGTCAAAATAGCCCTTTAAGAGCAAGATTTAAGTTTCTTAGCTTCAACATTACTGAATGCAGAGATATTGCTTTACACCAGTTTGTTTCTATTTGTGTTCTAAGATATGGATGAGGGCAGACAGATGGGAATACTTACCCATAGCTCCAATAGGAAAGTATGCAGGAGCATCAGTAAGGATGGCTTTAAAAAGGAGAGGGAGCGTGGGATACAAAGATTTAAGTGATTCCTTGCAATTTCTCAGTGGTAGGACATAAAAGTAGAAGCCAAACATTCATCTCTGCATTCCTGAGGGGCATCCTTGGCTTCTAAGAAAGGTACTGACAGCAATTTCTAAAACCAGGCCATTTCTCTCTGTGTTCTGACATGCCAACCCAGAAATGTGTCCTCTAGGTAAAAATAAAACCATTTCCATATCCTGGAGGAGGCTCACAGCCATGAAGTGCTGCTGTTCATGTCCCAGTGAAACCAGCACAGACACACACCTGCCCCATGCACCCCAGTGAAGCACACACACACACACCTGCCCCAT